AGGCCCCCCACCCCCACCTCCTGCTGCCTCACAGAGAAGCAAAGAATTAATCGGAAGTACCTTGCACTGAGGTTTAAGGCTGAGGTGAGAAAGGCAGGCTTGGACCCCCTAGGACCCCTGCTGTTGGGCTGGGAACAAATGGAGGCCTCAGAAGCTGCTGGCCCCCGTGACGGGGTGATCCCAGCCGGGCGGCCCTTTGGGGACTTGGTGAGGACTCTACATCACCCTGCCAGTCTCGAATCCTAATTTAATCTTGCCACCTAGTGTCAGCTTCCTTTTTTCACTGCATCCATGTTTCCTCTGAAAGCTAATTTCTGAGAACTCTGCTCCCTACAGCAAGAAAACTAGGGTGTGTGTGTGTGTGTGTGTGTGTGTGTGTGTGTGTGTGTGTGACCGGTGGGTTGGGGGTGAGGCTTCCAGGAGCGGGGAGATGGAGACGAGGAAAGGAATGTGAGCGTTACATCCTCCGGCCTCTGAGACTGAGAGTAGATTCAGTAAGAAATGAAATATCAGGAACCTTTTAATTAGAAAATGGAAGTGGGAACAGGCTCATTTGAATGCCTGTTTAGAAAACTGGAAATAAAAAGTTCCGTGAGCAAAGGCTTAAACCTGGGGGGGCGGGGAGAGACTTGCCCCAAATCTTTAACAAACCCCCCTCAGTATTAAGTATTTGTTAAATTGACATGGCACAGATTTCTCGATTACAGCGGCAAAGCGGAACTGAAAGGCATCGTAAAATCCATCAGAATGCTGCCCAAAGCGTTCATTCTTTTCCCACTTAATTTATGCCACGCGATTCTGTATTAGGGAAGTCAAGCAGAACGCGCCTTTCTCTCCCCCTCCGCCCCCTCCTCTTCCTCCTCCTCCTCCTCCTCTCCCCCCCCCACCACTGCACTTCTTCTGCATGCCATGCCTTGTGCTCAAAGTTAGAAACACAAAGAGAAAAAATAGGTTCCTCTCCCCCCCCCACCCTCTCTCCCACTCCACGTTGGTGCCTCTCCCCCTCTCCCTTTCAAAGCTGAGCTAAGGGGAGACTGTTTAACTTCAGTGTTTCTATAGGAGCCTGTTGTAGTTTAACTCCTGCACACCAGTAGCCGAGATGAACAAAGGAGAGACTCGAGGTCCAACTATTCACCCTTTCTTTGCACTTTAATTTTCATTGATTGGGAAGACAAGGGGAGCCCTTAGGGATTCAGGCTGAAGGGGGATGACACGCCTTTAGACGCCATCAGCCCCCTAGCCAGCCATCTGCTCCGAACCAAATGGCGTTTTTTCACTCCCGAACTGCATGTCTCTATACTCCGGCGACTCAGCGCTCTGAACCCCCCGAATGCAGGAGGGAGCTTAAGCTACAGTATGTTAAATAGGCGAGCTCTGTGTTGGCCCACGATGCCCCTCCCCACACACCATAAATCCTCACCTTGTTCATTAGGCAAAAGCAGGAAACTTTCTTTTAAATACTTTTTGATGTCTCAGCAAATTCACTGTACAAAGTGAGGCTCATTAGGGCTGAGAAGGTACCCAATACATCAGACCCAAGAGTGCAGAGGGACTTGGCGCCTGGTGGCGGTTTGTTCTTGCCTGGCACACCCAGCTCACAGCCCAATCCCCACTGTAGCTAGGGCAGGCTCAGGGCCACCGCACAACCACAGCTGAGTTCTCTGTTTGCTGGGAACCCTGAGATTTTACCAACCATTGTTAGGCCGTGTTATCGAGTTAAACGTGCCCATCCTCAGCAGTGAGTGGGACCTACTGTGGTCCTCCAATCCTGTGTCAAGCCCCCTTTGCCCAAAGAAAGGTCGTTCACAAGGTGTGTGTGTGTGGTGCTGGCTGTGGGTGGGGGCGCAGGGTCTGGGCAAATTGCAATAAACAATGCCCAGAATAGGCTTCAGACTCCAAGCCAGCCCCAGGTTCAGTTTTCTGTGTAAACAAGTCTGGAGACTTGAGTGGGGTTTGTGTTTTCATAGACCAACTGAATACTGTATACCCAACAGAGAGGCTCTCTTATTCCCAAGAAGAATTAGGGTCCTTGTTCAGAACAACAAAATAAAAAACTTCCAGGCAGCAAATCTGGTGTTGATCAAACATGCCAGCTTACTTGAAAAAAAGGAAGAGGCGGAGGAGGAGGGGCCCCCGAAGCATGTTTATTAATTAGTATTAGCGGCACATCTCCCAGCAACACACCCTTCTGCCCATTCTGCAACAGCCACCGTTTTGGAATCTTGAAGCGGTTCAAGCAGCGGAGGAATTGGCCTGCTTGCTGTGAATATAGGAAGCGCTTGCAGACTCGATGGGTGAAACGCTCTCTGTGCGATATACACATTCCAGATACTTCCTTACTTCTTAAGGACCAAGACACACAGACATTGACAAGCCCCACTGACCCAAAGGCGTAGACAGAGATGCTTACACTTGAGCTGCGTCTGCATGTCTGGTCGAACAAGCACTCCAACCGGAGCCCTCCGTTCACCCACAGCCGGAAGAGAAGAGGGCGGATCCGGCTTATATTTAGACACTGGGGCTTCCCTCTCCTGGGAGATACGCAGCGCAGCACACCAACGCATCCAGCGTCTCCGGCCCTCCCGGCGGCAGCCCCTCGAGAGGGCCGGCCCCACCGCGACCCCTGGCCCGACAGGTTCATGTGGGCGGAGGGTGGGGGTGACAGGCGCACAGAAGCCCCGGGAAGGAGCACTGGGCCCTGGCAGCCTCGCCTAAGCCTTCCTCTCTGACCGCAGGCCAGCCTCCGGAGACCTCGTGAATGAATGGACGGCGGCCCGATCTCCCTGTGGGGCAGGGTCGTGGCGTGTCACGCAACCTCTCCTTTTTTTCAAGAGAACCGCAGCCGTGGCAAGGGAAGGACGGAACGGCCCACCCCAACGTGCTTGTGATGGCGTTTGGGGTGCGGTGCATTTGCGGCACCGTCACCTGTGCGGGTGCACAGAGCCGGGAGGTGGAGGGCGCAGGTTCGCCGAACGTTGCAAAGGCATGTGCAGATTTGCATGAGAAAGGGCGGGTCGCGTGGCTCCGGCACGGTCAGAGCAGGGGATCGCTCTGCCCTCCTCCCGCGCCCCCACAGCTCCCTGCCCCCCACTCCTCCCCTGCCTCCCCTCCCCCCGCCTCCTCGGCTGCGGCCGCCTCTCCCCAAACCGCGGATCATCTGCTAGGGGCTGTGCGCCCATCTCCATGACAAAGCGCGTGTTTACCTGGCCCCGGCCCCGGCGGGCGCGCCTTTGTCCCGGATCAGATGACCGCGCAGCTGCTCCGCCGCGCGCGCTTCACTCCCCCCTCCCCCGCCCCCCCACAGCGGCCCCTCGGACCTTTCCGAGATAGAACGTGCCGGGCTCGGCGGGGGGCATTAGGTGGAGGCTGCTGAGGCCCCAACCTTGGGCAGCGGCGCTCCGGAGGGCTTCCTGGAGGCGGTGGTGACGCTTGCCCCGAGGGGCGTCTCAGTGAGGCCAGGGAGGGCCAAGTCGGCGGGGAGGTGCGGCAGATCACCCTTCCCCTCTGGGGGCCTCCGGGCGGTCTCACGCCCACGCGCCCCTAAGACTGGGGAGGGGCTCCAGGGTCAGCGCTGTTGGGGACCCTAGGGGCGGCTGCACGCACGGTCCGCGGGTGGGCGGTGGAGCCTTTGTGCATTAGCGAGGGGCGCGCCCCTGGGGCCCCAGACCCCGGGGCCGGGACGCGCAGCCGGGTCACCTGCATCAGTGCTAGGACCTTGAAATCTCAGGCCTGTGACTTCGTACGACAATGGAGGAGGGAGAGGAAGGGTGTCGAAGGGCGAGGCGCGCCAGGCCTTCTTCCCTGAGGCCTCGCTCTCCCGGACGCGCCCCACCCGGGAGGTCGCGGGCACCTGTCGCCCGGTCCCCGGGCGGCCCGTCAATCACCCGGCCCGGCGCCCCAGGCTCTGCAACGCAGTCGCCCCGGAGACGCCGCGCCCCCAGCCGCAACCCGGCGCGCGGCACGCGGACCCCGCCCTCCCCGCGGACTGTCCCTGCCGGACCCCGGGAGCCCCGGGCGAGGCGGAGCCTTCGACGGCGCTGTCCTTCGCTGGCCTCCCCACCTCCCCTTTCTGCGAGCATCTGCCCGGGGAAGAACAGATGTGGGCACCTGCGGTGACAGGCTGCATATGTTCCATCCTATTCACAGGCATTCAGACGCGGCACAATGAGCCGCCTTTGTGCGCCCAGTCACTAAATATATTAATCTGCGCTCCCCAGAGCACCGGGCTGTTTAATTTTTCACTAGCAATAACATCTGATCTAATCCTTAAATCGGCTCCCGAAAGCCTGCCCTCCCGCCCCCCTTTTTTCTTTCTCCCCACCCCCTCTCCAGAAAAACGTGTGAAGCTATTCAACCTTCCACCTGTTGCCTGCCGAACGGGGCGTGGGTTCCTGCAGCATCTGATGTGGGTTGGGGCTGGGAGGCAGGGTGGGGGGTGGAGGCGACTGTGTGGGGGACGCGGCTGGGCCGCATGGGCAGCGCTGGGCGTGTTTATCAGCGAAGTAAACACAAAGTGGGAGCGCGGCTCCCCAAATGTTGTGCAAACAAAAAGCGATAATTCTTAAACAGCTTCCAGAGCAACCCGGCAGACCCATCCCTTCTGTGTAAGCGCCTTCAAAAATGTCCATAAAGTTCCCATTTATCTTTTTGTTTATTAAACTCTAGTGGTTTTTATAAACACTGGTCAATAGGCCACACAGCCAAAAGGTAACATAAATCTCAGATGTAAGACTTAGATTTTTTAAGCAATTTTGTTGCATGGCTCTTTTATCTTAGCACCCCTTCTTCTGTTTTGATTTGTTTTCAGCCACAATGAGTCCTTTACGGCCATTGTGGGTGTCACAATGCACACGGACATCAGGCTGTGAATGAAGACAGAGGCAGTTTAAACAAACGCAGCTCTTTCTTTCCTTTCCGTCCATTGTAATATGAATGGGCCTTCTGCGTTCGTCCGGCTGCTAGGAGACGAGCTTTGCAAAGCCCCGCTCCAGTAAATGGGCTGGAGAGAAAGGGACCCCAATAAACAGCCTAAGTATTGGAGAAAAACAGAGGGCACAAATTTAGGCAAATGTTTTTCACCTTCAGCTCAACACAATTCCTTAATCTCAAAACGTAAGACCTACGTTCTAACGCCGCTGCATGCCTTGCTGTTCCAGTTTCCTTCCTTCTTATTTTAACTCTTACTCTCTCCCCGCTAGCTACCACCTCCCAGGGAAAAGAATGGAGACAGCACTGGCTTACCGTCAAGATTTGTTTTCAAAATGCTATTTTCTTTAAGGAAAATGGGAACAGGGTAGGGGCTGTTTGTCAGTCATAATCACGACTAACGGGGAGTTGTAAAATGCTTTAAAAATGTACACATCGGGCTGTTGCCAGGTAAGTGGGGGCATGGTTGGTGAGCAGATTTTTCAGGAACGATCACAAACTATGAATTGTTTCGGTGACACTTGGAAATGTTTCTGTTAACATTGGTAGGTTAGCTGAGGCAAGAAACTGAGCTGCTTTCAAGTTCTTAAGGACCCAGTGACAGTGTTTCTCAGTGGCTGGAGCTAAGTCACAGGCCACCGCTGAACCAACCACAGCCCAGCAAGCACGGAAACCAGGATTGTCCTGGAGATCACCGGTCACAGCTGGGGCTAGTGTGGGGACCAGCTGCCCCAGGCGCGTGGCGGAGAGAAGGCCACTCCGTATACTGATCTGTTCATTCATCCACTCACTGGTCACATAGGGGCTGGAAGTCCAAAATGAAATTAGAGCTGCTTTTGTAACCACAGAACCAGCTCAAACCGGTCCTATCCTGTTTCTAACAAGACCCGGAAACAAAGTCCACCCCACCTACAAATGTCACTCTGAGTGACACCAGAACCCTTAACAGCTCCCCCCACAGAACCAAAGGCCAGGGATGTGACCAGGACCTGACCCGCCAAACCCTTTCTGAGGCGAAGGGCTGTTGTCCAGAAAGACCCGGTGCTGAAACTCCTTAAAATCCTGCCTGAACCCTGGGTTAGGGAGAGAGACCCGAGCCCTGCCTCCTGTCCCATGCCAGTGGGCTCCCAAATAAAGGCTTTTTTCTTTTCTCAGAAGCCGACGTCATGGCACGAACAGCAAGCCCTTGCTCTAACACTTTCTGCCACTATGTAAATTATACAATGAGTAGAGAAGTCTTACCTGCTCTTTTATTTTCAGAAAGTGTTTGTGTAGGACAAATGTCTTCCTTAAATGCTTGAGAGAATTTATCAGTGTGTCCAGCTGTGCCTCGACTCTCCTTTGTTGAAAGGTTTTTACTTGCAAATTTAATATAATCAATAAATATCGGAATACTCAGGTGCTTGAGTTTTTCCTTGGTCAGGTTTAGTCATTTGTATGGGTTGAGGAATTTCTGCATCTCATCTAAAGTTGTTCAAATAGTCTCCTTTTAACCCTAAGGTTTAAGTAACACTGTGATACCCTCTCCCATCGTTAGTAAGGGTAATCCATGTCTTCTCTGTTTTTATTGAGGTCAGTATAGCTATAGGTTTATCAGTTTTATTGATCTCACCAAAGAACCAGCCTTTTGTTTCATTGGTTTTTCTCTGCTGATCTAGGCAAAAAATGAGGGCAGTCATCGGGTTTATCTCATTGTTCCCTTCTTTCAAGATTCTCCATCTTTCACTTCTTGTCTCCTGTTTGAAAATAGTAAAACCATATATTTTGTCTAGTTTTCTAGTTATTTAGCATGGAAGGACGAATTCTGTAGGAATTATTCCCTCATGGACAGAAGCTGAAACCGACTTTCACCTGCAAGTAACAGAAAACCCTAATTCAATACTCTCAACTGTAGAAAAATTCAGTTAAGCATTCAAATAAAATAATGAAAAGATACCATCGCCTAGAACTCACGGAATTAGGGGTCGAGTTGTCTTAGTCACGTTTTGGCCCCACCACGTCGTCAAGGCCCAAGCGGCTCTCCCTCTTTCTGTTCTTCCATTCTGGGCTGGGGGCTTCAGCCATAGGTTAGCCCCCTTTGCTGGCTGAATGATGCCTGCAGGTGCCCCAAAGCCACAGACAGACATAGGATGTCCAGAAGAGGAAGAGCGACGTTTTCTTTCTATGTGACGCCTTTTATCAGCAGTAAAACACTTCAGTAGTAGTAAATGTGGACCAACCATGTAGAAGTTAGCATGTTTATATTGTGGACAGAAAAGGGGCCACATAGTAACCTGACAAGCTCAGGAAACTGAAAATAACCACATAGGATGACGAGAACATAAAAATTTCTAACTAAGGTGGGCCATGGCGGGAAGTCACATCCTTGGCCTGTAGCTTCCTTGACAAAGGTCAATCTTTACCTTAAGTGAGGTTGTCTGTAGTCTTTTTGCATCTAAAATAACATACCCTTACAATATCAGAGTAATCTCTATTTCTGGAACCCCCCCCCAGGGGGCACAACGCACTGCGCCAGAGCAGGAATCTACAAAATCCCTCATTGTTATCTTGTTCCCCAAATAATGTCTCTATGTGTTGTAAAATGCTATTAACTATGCTGTACCCACCAATGTAAAAGAAGTGTCTCTCCATTTTACTTTTTATCCAATCCAAGAGATCCCCCCACCCCCATCCCCACTTTGCTTTCTCCCACCCCCTTAATCTACAACCAATGGATTTCATGTAAACTTTCTCCTTTGATTCTAATGTGAAAAATAAGTTGCAAAAGGGCCATTTTCTGGAGCATTTTCTCAATCTGTTGTCATCAGTTTGGCTCAAATAAACTCATAAATTTTCTCTTAGGCTGGATGTTTTTCGTCAACAATATGGTTGTGGCTTTTTTCTTTCCCAGTTTTTGGAAGGTGAACTATTATTATTCAGATAAAATCTTGGGCCCATGTGGTTGCAACATTCAAAGAAATTCAGTCCAGCATTCAAATAAAGTTAAAACTGATTCCAAATAAGCCTTGAAGGCTACTTAAAGGATCAGTTTGCTACCAAGAAAGCCTGTCCCAATGCCCGTCCTTTCCCTGAACTCACTTCCTACTCCATGTTTTTTCTCTCACAGTTGAGGTGAAGCCTTTTGTTTAACAGCTTACTTTCCCTCAATTCCTAGCTTCTCCCTAGTCAGCCTACAGTTTTTCTTTTCTTCCTTTCTTACCTTCCCTATTTTTCCCTTTTACATAAACTCTCCATCCTGTTTTTAGATTTTTCCCAAACCAAAAAATCTGATGTGCCCACTAGTGACTGGCAAGTCTGAGTGGTGTGGAGGGGGTGGGGCAAAGGATGTGAACAATCACACGTCATTTTTATTTTCTGCTCCTGCTACACTGACTTCTATGTACAACTTGTCTTTTCGTCTTCCAGAAAAGAGATGTGGAAGTAATCTTCGGCTTTTCCTTTCCTTCACTGTAGTGCGTTGTAGCCATAAAATTTTTTTTAAAGCCTTTAGGGTTTAGACAAATTTGGGTTTCAGTAACAATTGTGCCACTTACAACCACTTGTAATAGTTAACCAGTTTTTTAAATTTAAAAAGTTTGCTTTTATTAAGTAGTGTGCTTGCAGATTTTAAAATTCAAATAGTATACCTAGATTTATAACAAAAAATGGCAATTTTGCACACCATACATCTCCACTCCCACGCCCTTCCTCTGTTTCACTTAGTGTCTAATGCTTTGTCTTTCTTTTTCAGGTGTGTATATAGTCTGTGGATTTCCTGACTCCAGTAGGTGAGGATATAACTCTGTCACCTGATACCCTACACTGTGGGGGGCAAATGAAAATAACTTTCCTCCCACCCTTAGGTTCTTCCGGTTTGGCTAATAATCTACTTAACATGAGCCAGATTAACAGGAGAAAATGCCCAAAGTTTATGATGATGTGCACGCGGGGGGCGTGCCATGAGGCCTGAGATGGCGCATTGGAAGTTGAGGTTCATGTGCCATTTTGGACAAAGGAGAAGTAGGCAGCAGTCTGGGATTTCAAAGACAAAGTAGAGGAGAAAGAGCAAACACATGGTAAACAAATTCTTGCAGGGCCACCCAGAAACAATGGGGCCCAGAGGGGAGTTCAGCAGGCAGGCTCTGCTGGCTTCCTCCCTGTCTGCCACATTCAGGGGATATTATGATGCTAAGGTGATGGTCTCTCCTTTAAGCAGGTTTTTCTATCTGAATTGCTTTTAGGCAGGTCAAGGGGAGGGTCAAAGGTGTTTTCTGAGGTTTTTTTGTTTCTTAATAACCAGCTTAAAATCAATATTCCAAAAAGCATATTTTGGGCAAAATTTGGTCCCCCTCAACACATGTTTATAAACACATTTAAGATCATTCCCATTTTCCAAAAATAGTAACGGCATCCTTTTAGATTAAATTACCATTCACTATTTACCTGATTAAAATTATGTAATCAATCCTAATTATTCATAGCTGAGGCACATGCTATGATTACATTATTTTTTGTACAATTTTTTTGCCTTTCCTGGACTCAACAATGGCCTTATTTGCTTAATGACTTTCCTATGTGTCTAGTACTTATTGTCACCAAACTCTGCAGATCTTTTTAAATATTCAAACACATCCGCTATTTAATGTGTAACACTGTTTCTGGAGATATGTCTCCAGGGGGCTCCTGCTCTCATACGCATGGTGTCTAGCTTTTGTCCTGGGACACCCCTCTTCTTTCTCACTTGGAGTCTCCTGCTCTCTAGGTCCCAAGTAGTCCTCTTTCTCGACTTTTTAATTTTGGAGAAGATCATCTTCCAGTGCGTTTCTGAAATAACGTACTTGGTAGATAATGTTTTTGAGCTGCACATCTGAGAATATCTGTATTCTACCCTGGCACTTAACTAATATTTTGATTGAGACTAGAACTCCATATTAAAATTATTTTCTTCAGAATGTTGAAGTTAATGCTCCATGAATCTCAGCTTCTATTTGAGATTCTATTGAGAATTTCCATGTTGTTCTAGTGTGACCCTTTTATTTTTTCCTATGGAAACTTTTTAAGATTTTTTCTTTATCACTGAATTTTGTGATGATGTGCGTTGGTGTGGCTCTTTTCATGTTTGTTGTGCTGGGTGTTTGCTGTGCCCTTTTAATATGAGAACATGTCTTTTAGATATGGGAAGTTTTCTTGAATTATTTCTTGAGTAATTTCCTCTTCATTTTCTCTGGTCTCTTTCCCGTAAATTCCTGGTTTTCAGATGTTGAACTTCTTAATCTTCTAATCCTCTTATGTTTTCTCTTTCTCCATCTTGTTTTGTTATCTGAGAGTTACCAAATTTATCTTCTTTTGTCAATTTTAAAATTGAAGTTATTGCTTTCTGAATTTTCAAGAGCTCTTGCTTATTTTCTGAATGTTCTTTTATATACCTTTCTCTTACAGGTGTAGTATTATCTTCAGAGACTGTAGATAATAAAGTTTTTAAGAACATTTTTCTCCCTCCAAGTTCCTGTTTTTTTCCTTTTTTTTTTCTGAGGGTCTTCCTCAAATGTCAGTTGATCCTTGGTCATCTGTGTATATTTAAGAAGGAGGCAGAAACGCTTCTTGGAAGCCCTGTGGGGCAGGCAGATGAGGACTGCCAAGTGGTAGGACTCACATAAGGTGATTAGAAGGGCTTTGGGCAGCCTGTCCCCCTCTGCCTCCACTGCCCATCATTGTGAGCCTCCTGCTCCCCAAATCCGCTGTCCCTGTCTCCTCCCTCACGCCACCTGAATTCCTACTTCTAAGACAGTTTAGTTAGTATAACGTCAGACAGTCAGGAATTACCTGGTAGACTGAGCAAAGATAAAATACTGACCATTTCTTACACCAGCCGTTTTTTCAATGTTATGAGTATAACTCCCTCATACTGGAACAGAGACATCAATCACGTCCCAGGGCAACAAAGCCATTTTGAAGAACTTTATGAAAGGCCTTCCCAAGGCTGAGCAACAGAACAAATCTGATAAACACCTTATTGACAGGCACTAGCATTCCAGCATTCCCCTCCCAGGCAGAAAGAAAAGTATAAAACTCAAGCGTTTTACCATAGCCAGTGGGCATCCCAGTTCGAGGAGCTGTAACCTTTCTCTGGCTTCAATAAAACTACCCTCTGCTACAAACTCTACCTCTCTGGTCCGTGTCTCCATTCTCCCACTTCACGAGACTACGACCCTGGCACAAGAAATGTCCTACATCACTTCCATCTCTTTCCTAGGTTTGCTCTCTCTGCCTTGAAGCCCTGCCTTTTCTGATCCTGTCTCAGATCCCAGCCTTCCTTTTGGGCTCATCTTGTACATTACTTGTTCACCGCCTTCTTCGTATGCACATTATAAACCTTACTCTGTGCTTTGCTTGTTTTCTAAATGTAATGTATGTCTGTCTCCCCAACCACAACGTGAGCGCCTTAAGACTAGATCATTTCACACACTTCTTGTTGTCACTCTATGGCACCCAGCCATTAATAGGTGCTCAGCACTGTTGATTTTACTTAGAAACAAATACCAACAGGAAACGAAAGCCTTGTATGTGAAATGGAGAGATTCCTCCCCCAACTGTCTAATACATACATATAGTGTCGCTTCGACTTGGTAATTCTTTCTGAGTGTTTGATCTGTCATGTGCTTTGCAAGAGACTCTGAAGGAACAACATTTGATCATTTTACTTCCCTGACCCTTGCTCCCTGGGGCTTACAGCAGTCCTGAGATAGATTGTGTCAAGATGGCTTTTGGGATGCATCTTAAGTAGCTGGGTACTATTAATAATTGAAGTTTGTCAATAATCCAAAAAAAAAATAAATTAGATTGGTTTTTCGCTTGGCTACCAAAGTGCTCTCTTGGCTGTAGAGAAAAGGGTGGCGTTGCAGGTAAGAGGAACGAGAGCTGTGTGTAGTCTGAAGACTGCCTTGTCTCTGAGCCCAAAAGAGCGTGTCCTGAATGGGAGCTTTATTCATCTTAAAGCAACTTCAGAAATAAGGTCGAGACGGTGGCTTAGACTCCAAACGCCCTCGGTAAGCCGGAGCCGTTCCCCCACCCGTTTTCTCTGCCTCTGCTCCCTCGTGTGCACACCCTGGTCACCGAAGTTCCTCCAAACCATGTTGCTCCGTCGCCTGCCCTTGCCCTTCGCCCTGGACCTCGCCGACACCCCGCAGCGGAGCCGGCGCGCCCCTCAGAAAACGTGGGCTCCACGGTGATGAAGACCTGCTCGCGCGGGCTCCTCACCAACGGCCCCTCCGGGCCGAGCGCTCCGCTCGACCCTCGGAAGCTCATCTGGAAGCACCGCGACCCTCCAGCTTTTCGGAAGAGGAAGCCGCGGGGCGGAGGTTAAACAACGCGCCCAAGGTCACGGCCGGCACGCGCGCCCCGGCCCGGCACTCCGGGAGCGGCCACGCCTCCCGCGGACGCAGGGAGCCCTTCCGCGGCCGGGGGCGGAGGAGCGCGGACGCGGCGCTCACGCAGAACCGCGGCGTCGGGGACCGCCGCCCGCCGGCCCCGGCAGCGCAGGCCCCGGAGCGAAGGGTGGCAGGGGCGGCGCCTTGCCGGCGCCCGCGGGAAGCCGGGACAGCTGGACGCCGACCAACGCGGCACAGCGCGGTTTCCCGGCAACGGGCGCGGCGCCTGCGCATCTCGCCGTGACCCCGGCGCCTGCGCATCTCGCTCCTGCTGCGCTCGGGGACTCGGCCCCGCCCCCGCGCAGGGCGGTCCGTCGAGCGGAAGCGCCCCCGGCGGAAGCGGAAGTGTGCGAGCGGCTGCGGCGGGGCCGAGGGCTGCGCGCGTCTCCGCTGTGCTGGCGCTTCTCTAGGTAGGGCCGGGCCGGCTGCGCTCGCGGTCCTGCGCCGTCGCGGCCGCCCGGCCGGGAGCCCCGTGGCGGGTGTCCGGGCCCCCGGCCGTCACCGCCCGCCCCCGGCGCCCGCCCCTCCCGGCGCCCGCCTCCCACCTGGGTGTGTGGCCGTCTCGGGTCGGCTCGGTTGTGCCCCGCGGCCCGGCTGCTCTGTCCGTCACCGGAGAGGCGACCTCTTCGCAGGCGTCTCAAAACCGCGCCTTTGCCCCCAACCCCCTGGGCCGCCCTCCCCGCAGTCCCGCTCCCGGCGAGTGCCAGGTCCTCGGGGAGCGGAGGGGACGGGCTCGGTGCCGGCAGGGAACCCGGACAGTGCCGGGGGGGACATCGGGGGGCAGGGGGCGCTTGTCGGCCGGGGAGTTTCCGCAGGAGGGGTCTGAGCTGAGTCTGGGAGCGAGACGGGCGTCGTCCCTGCGGAGGGAACGTTGGTTCCGGATGGAAGGCTGAGACAGCCTGGCGTCCTCGGGCGAAGGTGCCGGTTAGAGGTGGGGAGCGCGGGACGAGGACAGCCGGGGCTGCGGCGCGGGGAGCCTGCAGGCCGCCGGGCGGGGAGCGGGGAGCGGCGCCCCTGCCGCCCCCGAGTGGCTGAGGCGTCCGGCCTGCGGCAGCGCCCCGCGCCTCGTGCCACTTTGGTTTCCGTCCCGCCCTGTGTGCGGCGCAGCTCCCCGGCCACGTGCGCCCGGCTGTCGGGGTCGCCGCAGCCTTCTCGCTTCCTCGTGTCGCGTTCCCGCCGCCCCGGCAGCTCTGCCGCAGGGGTGTCCGCTGCCCTGGCCGCGCCTTTCGTCTCAGCCTCAGCGCTGCTGTCCTTACTGGTCGTGTTCGTGGGAAGCGCCGCCAGCACGGTCACCGCGCGGTAGTACCGTCGCGCAGTGGCGTCAGGCCCTCGGTGTCGTCCCTTCCCGACCGCCTCGCTCCCCAGTGATTCCGCGTAATGTCTCACCCTGACGCTGCGGACACACAGAGGCCTCCGCCCGCACACCACACCCGAGGTCCAGTGGCAGCCGGGGCGCGTGTGTGGGTTTCGGCGTCCTTAGGCTCTGCCCGCTCAGAACCTGAATCCTGGGTGTCATTTATGGGGCAGAATTACTGTAAAGCAAATGAAGTTCCGGCTTCCTCACGGTCACAGGCCTCTTCCAAGTAACTGGGAAGGATCTCAGTGGTCTTCTGTGTATAATTTTGTATTTTTTTTAAAAAATGAGGGACCCCAAATCCCATTAAGCTTCAGGCCCTACACAACTTGGATTGCCACGGAACTGGCCATTTGTCGTGTCCTGCTGTTTGGGTATCTGTTTTGTCCTTGAGACTTTCATCTCCCCCCTGGGACTCCTTGTGTGTGCTTGTTGCTGAGGCTGAGCGATAAAGTCGGAATGAGTGGTACGTCGGACTCCTGCTGTAATCTGGCTTCAGTGGCTCTGGTTAGGGAGCGACTTGGCAGAGACCAGCCGCTCAGCACAGGCGCCTCTGCAACGACACACGCGTTCTTCCGTCATGTCACTGCTGGGGTGTCCCTTCAAGGAAGGGTCATGGTCAGAAGGAACGGCCTCTTCATAGAGACCATAAAAGCAAGTGTTATCTCCATGGACACTAAGATTGTACACTGGAAATGCAGAGGGGTTAATGGCATCCTATTTTTATTAGTTTGAAAACGAGGCAACCCTTATGCTATCAATTATTTTTATAGCACTTTATAACAAGTATAAATAACTTTTTTTTTTTTAAGATTTTTATTGGGGATTGGGAACAGCGTTGGGGAATTGGGGGAATGGGAACAGACAAGTTACTGTCTTTTTGTTCTTCAGTCTAGTTGGGGAGGACGTTGCTTCACTGGCCCAAGTTGGCACCATCATTGTGCTCTTCCCGGGCGAGGCAGATCAGTCGCCGGCTTCTGGACGGCCGCTCACTGCGGCTGCTGGCCGCTCACGCTGGCTGCTGGCCACACACGGTAGCCCATGGCAACCCACTGCAGCAGGGGCTGCAGCCTACGCTGTCCCCGGGGACTCACGGCAACCCAGCTCCAGGTTGAGCTGTTGTTCAGCATCTTAGCTGTAGAGGGCAGTGTCACTGGCCCTCATATGTGGGATCCAAACCGGGGCCCTCTGGCGTCCCAAGCCAGCTCTTAACCAACACGCCACTCGGCCGGCCTTAAATAACTATTTTAACTTGTTTTTAGACATCTGTTTCTTTGTAAGGTTCTTTTGGAAAATTTTCAGAGATTTAAAATGTTACTTAAGGTTTAAGTTATGTAAATACAATAAGATATTTCTAGATGCTTTTATAATAGTAGTTTAAAATCCACATAATTGAGAAGTAAAGCATCTCATTTTTACAAATAAGGAAATTAATGCCGTACAAAGAGATTAAATGGTTTGTCTTCAGTTGGGCAGTAAATCAGGGCCTTCGCAAGCCAAAGAAGCCAGCTCCTGAGCACCCTTGTCTTACAAACAAATACCACTCGATAAGGAGGAGCCCACTTAAGTCAGGTCTCACTGCAGAACGCTGACGATACGATGGACCCAGTCATACCCTACAGCATGCGTGTCTGGCTGCACGCATCCACAGAGATACGCTGGGCTTGGAAGTGTCAGTTGGGCACTGTCCCCATGAGTGCTTTAGCCCAGTGAGCTCAGTACAGATTTCTGTAAGTTACCGTGAAGTCAATAATAAAATCATTGTCAAGCAGGGCAATAGGAAAGTAACTCTTTATGAACTGCAGACTTTTCTGGATAGTTTAATTTTGGGGTTTTGCTCATGAAGCACTCATCTCCCATTTAGGATGGAAATCTTTCCAAAATACATTATTTCCATGTTTCTTAATAGAATGTGCTGAGGGATGTAAGCTTTCTGTAATCTCAAGTAAACGTTTTAAACATAATTTGCTATGTTGTGATGTAAACAGTGTCAGGGCTATAGAAGCAAATATAGCTGTTTCCCTATTATGTATTTGGAGTTTTTGTGTCTTTCAGTCTTTTTTTTTTTTAAAGTTTTCCTGTCCTTTCTGCAGGTCGGCTATCAGCCGTTCCTTCCGTGGTCAGTATGTCTGCCTCGAGTGCCCGCCCATACTTCCTCTGCTGTGGGCTTAGGGATCGTTGTTAGAACCGGGTACAAACTAGTCCATAGATGGTACATCAGAGCCTGAGAAAACCTGTGAGTAAATCGTCTCAGCTTTAACTCATGAATTTAAAAATTTCTGTGTGATTCTTATCCTGAATTCTGGATAAATGAGGCATACAATTTTGCAGGTGTACACACATTTGCCTTCTCTGGTCAGTGACACTGTTTTTATACCATCTTGACCGACCTAGAAGGGGTTTTGTCGCCCTACAGTGGGTGGGAGAGTCCCAGGCCCAGCGTTTTGGGTTGCTCCTTCAGTCCCGATCTGTCAGGGCCCCTGAGACTGGGAGAACCTTCAGGAAAGGCGATCTTTGGGCTAAGTTCTGCAGTGAGTGATTTGATCACTGAAATATAGCAGTGTCAGGTGGGGTGTGACCTGGTAAGAGGACCACAGGCTTTGGAGGCAGGTGGGTTTGGGTTCCAATCCCAGCATTACTGTCACTATCTGTGGCCTCAGGCAGGTGACCTAACGCAGCACACCTGCTGGCTGCCACAGCAACCAGCCCTTCTGCTTTTGCCGGCAGAGCATGCCTTTTCTAATGGAATAGGAACAAGACTGATACGGTGCCGCAGGACTAGAGGGCCTGTTTGCTGTGGGATTTCTGATGGAAAAAGCAGCTGTATCCTTCGCAGAAAACTCACAGAACAGAGAAACATTTTAAAGTGTACAGTCTGATGCATTTTGACATGTGTACACACCGTGCATTGTCCTTTTCTGACGGCCCCTGAGCCTTTGCCGTCCTCTTCAGAGATTCACGTCTTGGACAGGACTTTGTCCTGTTCGCTGTCGTGTCCCCAGCTGCTGGCACCGGGCCTGGAGCACGAGGTGAATATTTATGGAGCAGATGTGAGAGGGTACATTTCATGCCTTCTGTTCACTGGGACAGGGACAGGGCAGCAGAGGGTCGTCTGCCCTCCTTTGTTTTCTGCATTGGGAAATAGGGTTCGTCCAGAAAAGGAATGGTGTTGGGCAGCCAGAAAACCAGCGTCCACGATAGCCTCTTGTGTATCTCGTCTTGCCTGCCTCCACCCCTCCTCCATGACATAGGCAGGGCAGTGTTTCTAAAATGCACATCTTGGGCTGGCCGAGTGGCGTGTTTGTTAGGAGTGGGCTTTGGACACCAGCTCTGTGCAACAGGGCCCCGGTTCGGATCCCACATGAGGGCCAGTGATGCTGCACCCTCTACAGCTAAGACGGTGAACAACAGCTCGACCTGGAGCTGAGCTGCTGTGAGACGCCGGCAATGGCATAGGCTGCAGTGGGGCTGGCCGGCAGCGGGCGTGCACTTCCATGAGCGGCCGTCCAAAGGCCGGCGACCGATCTGCCTGATTGGGGAAGAACGCAATGATAATACCAACATGGGCCAGTGAAGCGACGTCCTCCACAACTAGACTGAAGAACAAAAGGACAGCAACTTGTCTGTTCCCCTTTCCTCATTTTCCAACGCTATTCCCCTCCCCCAATTCCCCAATAAAATCTTAAAAATAATAATAATAAAAATAAAATAAAAACGCACGTCTTAATACCGTGAATGTCACCCAATTTCCCTTAGGACGAAGTGTGAACACATGAGTGATTTGTGAGCCTCTTTGCCACCTGGCCTGTCTGCTGCAGCCTCTTTCCTCACTCTTCACTTAGAGCAGAGGTTCTAGCACACTTGGTTTGGCTTTGTTTTTTCCTTTGTCCATGTTTGAGGAACACATTTATAATGTACATAAAGTTGCAGGTTAAACTACTTAATAGCACATATATTCTAAGCATCTTGGAAACATCCATTTAATAAAAAAGACACCTTAGGGACTTTAAAAAGAAGACATCTCGTGTTACTCCTGCTTCATGTCTCCTGCCGCTGTTCTCCCATCTCTGCCTGGCTTGCCTGCCTGCTTTTTCTGCGTTTTCGTTGTCTCACGCGGAATGCCCTCAGGACGGCCGTGGTGGTTCCCAGATGTGGGCTGTGTCTCCCACGGAAGAGTCACCACTCTTCTGCCCTTCTCTGTCCTACCGTTCTGCCCTTGTGCTTTTTGCCTTTGGGATGTTTTCCTGCTGCAGTGGAAGCTACAAGTGGCCAGGGCCATGTCTGTCTTGTTCATAGCTTAGTGTCGCTGTGGTGACTGACGTGAAGCTGCTTGCTGACTGTGTAGACCAGATTTATGTTCAAATAAAGTTACCCTGGTATTGAGGAGAACTGGGTGTTAGGGTTACAGCTATAGATGGGCGACCTGTTGGAGAAAAGTTACCAGGATGTGTTTTTACTTTGACTCAGCAGTTTCATGCCTAAGATTTATCCCAAGGAAGTGACCCAAGATGTGCTCAGAGATTTTTATACATGGATATGATTCGCATTCTTGCTTCTGGCATGCAGTATTGGAAATAACCTAAATACTCAACAGTAGGGTCAAATAACTCATTTTACATCCACTTTGTGCATCTATTAAAAATGACACCATGAGAGGTTAACAATGATTTGGAAATATATTCATAATAAATTAAGACACAAAATAAAGCACAGAAAAGTATGATCCCAATTTTTAAAACCAATAATAAAAAAGCAGAAATATGTAATCTAAAATATTTATTGTAGCCATTATTTTTGGAAGGTGAGATTAGTAGGTTTTCTCTTTGTCAATGAATTTTCTACAAAGAACATGGCTATCTTTTTAATCAGAAAAAAAATGTACAAATAAATAGTCCCAATATTAAAAAGTAATCTAGCTTATAAAAACCCTAAATTAGTAAACCATTGCTAACATTTATATGGCTTTGTTATTTTTTATTTTTATTTTTTTAAAGATTTTATTGTGAAATTGGGTGGTGGGGACAGCGCTGGGGAATCAGGGAAGGAGAACAGACAAGTTGCTGTCCTTTTGTTCTTCAGTCTAGTTGTGGAGGACGTCGCTTCACTGGCCCATGTTGGTATTATCATTGCGCTCTTCCCGGGTAAGGCAGATTGGTCATCGGCCATTGGACGGCCGCTCACAGTGGATGACGGCAGCTCCCTGCAGCCTACGCCGTTGCCAGTGACTCTCGGAAGCATATGGCTTTGTTTTATTTTATTTTTTATTTATTTATTTATTTATTTTTTTAAGATTTTTATTGGGGAATTGGGGGGATGGGAACAGTGCTGGGGAATTGGGGAAAGGGGAACAGACAAGTTGCTGTCCTTTTTGTTCTTCAGTCTAGTTGTGGAGGACGTTGCTTCACTGGCCCATGTTGGCACCATCATTGCGCTCTTCTCTGGCGAGGCAGCTCAGTCGCCGGCTTCTGGACGGCCGCTCACTGCGGCTGCTGGCCGCTCACGCTGGCTGCTGGCCACACACGGTAGCCCATGGCAATCCACTGCCACAGGGACTGCAGCCCACGCCGTCGCCGGCGACTCATGGCAGCCCAGCTCCAGGTCGAGCTGTTGTTCAGCATCTTAGCTGTAGAGGGCAGTGTCACTGGCCCTCATATGTGGGATCCGAACCGGGGCCCTCTGGTGTCCCAGGCCAGTTCTTAACCATCGCGCCACTCGGCCGGCCCCATATGGCTTTGTTTTAAATTTTGATATAATTTAAGAATTTTGACTGGTGCTGGGCAGATTTTACTAAAGTTTAGGCAACTAATGAGAAATGTTAGATGAATAAATTTATAATCTAAATAACACTGCATCACAGAAGTTTATAGGGTAGGTCTTCGGAAGCATTTTGCAGATAAGAAAATAAGTTTCTCAGAGTCTCACTGCTAGGAAGTGGAGGTTAGAGTTTGAACTCAGCAGTTTCGTTCTAGAGCCTTTTGTTGTCAGCACTGACCAGCGTTTGCCTTTCTTCCCTGCACACAGCTGGATGGGATCTGCTGCCCATGACTGCGTGTCAGCAGGAGCTGTGCTCTAGTGTTATTCTTGGCGCCAGTGGTCATGGCAACACTGACTTGCAGGCTCCTCCAGGCCATCCGGGTCTGGACATCTAAACCCAGGCATGTTGGGTATGTTGCAATAGCCACAGGCTTTGTGAAAGAAAAAATTATCCTGACACTTAAAACAGTAAGGAAGATTTTATTCCAGACTGTTGCAGTGTGGAGATAAAGGGGACTCACCTCGAATATGCCAAAGACGGGATTTATGGCCACAAGTGGAGTGAGGGGCCGTGAGAATCAAGAGTAGGGGCTGAGGGTTTTGATCAGATATCGAGGGGGGATTCTCTGAACTGACTCGTCAGGACTCCTGCTAACACTGGCCTCGGCGGGTTATGAACCTGAGGTCGAGGCCCCATGGAGAAGAGGGCCCAGAGGAGCCTGCTGGAGTTGGGCCAAGGACGGCGTCTTTGTCAGTGTTGTATGAGCCCTGTTGGAGGTCCCTGAAGCATGGAGACCCATCAAGGCAGCCACCCTTCGTTTACTTATTCGTCTGGTTGTTCGCGTATCCGTCAAAACTCAGTAGACATGGAGCAAACACTGCCATGTGCGGGCATGGGACAGACCTCTTGGGATTCTGTGTTGGGGGTCCCTGTGGATTTCTCTTGGGTGGGGTCAGTGGGAGGAAAGGAGAGGAGGGCGGCCTCAGATCCGCCACACCAGCATGAGGGGACCTCAGTGAGGGCCAGGCCCTGCCAGCCCGTTACCAGTGAAAGGACAATTACCTAAGCCTTGGAAATGAAGCACAGGATAGAAATGTTTTGTCCCTGTTGCCCTTGACCATTTAACAGATTCACCCAACATTATTCAACTTTGTAATGGGATGAGCCCCTCTCTCTTCTGTTCACTCTTGCTCAGAGCCCAAACTTTGTGATGTTACATGTTAATTTCTAGATTTTTGTCTTGTACACAGACTATATCTGGTGAAGATAAACCCAAAGGCTATGGTTTTGCTCTGTAGACATTAACCTGATTTGTGTCCTACAGAAAAGCTTACTGTGGTCAACCCCAGCTCTCCAAAGGCCCCTGAACCAGTATCCCTCACTGGCCCCCTCGTCAGCGTGTATGTGCACGGGCAATGGCCTGCCTAAGGTGGCCACACTGCTGGTCCTGGTTGTCCTGCAGACACCACTCTCCACGTGGGAAGTGTCCCCTGCCTCTCTCAGCCTATTTGTCCCCGTGTCCAGACTGACTGCATGTGTAGTCTGTGACCCTGTCAGTGACAGGTAGGGTTGATAGGTTTTTGCCAAGCGAGGCATGCCACTCTTCATTTCTGTTTGTCCATGTAGAGACTGAATGAAGGAGCTTCTGGACTTCTCCTCTGTCCACTTCCTTATTTACGGGTGACCCAATTTGCTGGGGTTGGTCTGGCTGTGAGGAGAAGGAAGCCATTCCTAGGAGCGAGGCCACCTCCTGCGTAACACGCTCCCCTGTGCGCCTGCGGCAGCTCCTTCGTTATATTTCTTACACTGATGCTGTTGCCAAGCCAGCTTGTCGGCGGCTCAAGGGCCAGACTGGACTTCTTATGCGCTCTTTGCCCACATTTGGAGTCTATAAACTCGTTGATTCCTGATTTCTCTACAGCTGCGCTTTGATGCCTCCATTTATTCATTCATTCACAAATACTGGGCCCCTTGCATGCCAGACACTGCAGGTGTTGGGGTTATGACAGAGTGACGTCATCTGCCTGGAGAGGCTCATTCATGGAAGGGATTCCCAGGCTGTGTTTTGGGTACTAAGACTTCTAGCGAATGAGAGAGAACTTCTGTTTTCTTTCTTTCTAATGAAAATTTCCTTATAATTTGCAGGTAGAATAAATGAGATTATATATGTATGTAATTATCTTAAAAGCTATCTAAAGGTAGAGAATGAAAAAACTCAGTATATGTTCCTAGCAATAAAAGGCTTAAAAACAAAGAAATATTTAAAAAGGTAGTATCCACAAAAATTATCTTTTAAGCATTTCATTTTCCAGCACACTAATTGCAGTAAGAGCAGTGGGAGCGTTGAATGTTTTGAGGAGCTGAAACACTGGAAGGCGTCCTCTAATGTCACAAGTTCCCAAATCTTTGCCTCTCTAAACTTGTCTTTGTAAATGTCATTGAAGAGCACCTTGTAGGTGACATCCCTGAAGTAATCTGTGATTCAAAATGTGAGAAACTGGCAGTGTGAAAGAGGAAAAACCAGTGTGTGTGTTTCATTAAAATAGTGAGCTTTTCACTCCTGGGTGAGGAAGGAGGGAAAACATTGGAATAAAATCGGGGCAGAGCTGAGCCCGACTTGCAAAATAGAGGAGAGTGTTTTGAGAAACTCAGTGTTGTTACTTGCAGTTTTAGTAGAAAAATGCTTGAAACAAAAATCCCTTTTAGTCGGTGAGGGAAGGCAGCCACCCATATGTGACAGAGCTGCTGCACCAATGGGGCCTCATGGGGGGCTGGGCGACAGGTTCTGTCGTGCCCAGAGCACCCAGGGCCAGGGGGCAGCTCCCAGGGGCTGCTGGGGGCTCGCTGGGAGCCCATGCCCAGCACCCAGCCTGGGGCCTGGTGAAAAGAGGGGGCGTATCCTCAGTGTGGAAACCGAGACAGACTCCAGATTTTAAGGTTTGCTTTTGCTTCGCTTATCAGCAAGCCTGCTTTTTCCAAAATGTCCGCCAAGAGAGAGATGGTGAAGTCTAAGCCTTCTCACCCTTCTTTTGTTCTTGCGCCCCCTTTCAAACCTGCGCCTTCCTACCCCCCGTGGTGGAATGTGCTGCTGGAGAAGTACATGCAGCCTTTGGATGCGCAGGATCTATGCCCAGAGGTCCAACCTGTGGGGCCACCTAATGGTTGCAATAATCACGCTTCGAAGTCCAGTTTCTGTGTCAGAACTCACATCCCTTGGTGAGGTCCCCAAGAGAAATGTTCTGCTAGGCATAGCTGTGCAGTGTTGGGGGTGTATGGATCCGTGCCCTCTGTTCTCTGTTACATTTTCACAATGAGCAGGACTTCCCGAAATTTCAGCATGAATGGGCTGCCCATTTATGAGTGTGTGTCCACTCAATTTTTACATAGTTTTCATTGACAGCTATTAAAGATAACTTGAAATGGTACTGATAGGGACCAGTGTCCATTAACAAGCAGTCAATTCTTTTTTTTTTTTTTAAGATTTTATTGGGGAATCAGGGAAGGGGAACAGACAAGTTGCTGTCCTGTTTGTTCTTCTGTTTAGTTGAGGACGTCGCTTCACTGGCCCATGTTGGTTTATCATTGCGCTCTTCCTGGGTGAGGCAGATTGGTCGCCGGCCACTGGATGGCGGCTCTTGGCAGCTCATGCTGGCTGCCGGCCGCTCACGGCAGCCCATTGCAGCCCACTGCAGCCTACGTTGTCGCCAGCGACTCACGGCAGCACAGCTCCAGGTCAAGCTATTGTTCACCATCTTAGCTATAGAGGGCAGTGTCACTGGCCCTCATGTGGGATCCGAACCAGGGCCCTGCTGCACAGAGCTGGTGTCCCAAGCCAGCTCTTAACCAACGCGCCACTCGGCCGGCCCAAGCAGTCAATTCTTAAATGATAACCCTGCGATGGTGCCTTTTCTCAGCTTGGTAATTTGTTTAGTTTCTTCATTTGTGAAATGATGCATGTAGATTATTACCTGTCATGGCTGTTTGAAAGATTGGAGACCTTTTGTGTTGAGTGCCCAGCGTGTCTGGGGGTGAGCTTGCTGTCACACAGGAGCTGTGACTGATGCGCTTGTGGCCCGGACTGCTGTGCTGCCCTCTGTCCGAAGCCTGCTGGATGCATCATTTGTTCTTGTGTTGCTGTTTGCAGAATAAGGGTTTTTGTTTTGTTTTATCAAAGGACACTAAGTCCTGATGACTCTAAAAAAAAATCCAAGTGAAAGGAATAGGCCGTTACGGTAAAAGATGCCGTCATGGGATTTCTGTGACCTTCAATGGATATTACCTACTCGGACAGTGTCTGATATCATACCTTTTATTATACACAAGGACATCTCGCGCCTTATAAAGTACCTACTTAGGTTTTTTCAAATTTTGAATTCTAGCTCTGTGAACTGTGTTGTATGTTTTTGTTTTTATTTTATTTTATTTTATTTTATTTTATTATTTTTTTAAGTTAGTTTCAGGTGTACAACACAGTGCAATAGTTATACTTTTTACCCCTCAAAGTGACAACCCCCCCAATCCGCCACCCCAGTCCCCCCCCCCGATATCATACATATCTATTACAATTATCATAGTCCATTGACTCCACTCCCACACTACACTCCACGTCCTGTGACTATATATATATTCACTTATAGTTGACATACAATATTATACAACATCAGCTTCAGGTGTACAGTGCAGTGATCAAGGCTCTACACCGTCCATGAAGTGGTCTCCCTAACAAGACGTGTGACCATCTGACACCCTACAAAATATTTACAACATATGTTGTATGGTTTTACATTTTAGAGTGGGCAGTTTTCCATTCAAAGTCAGCTATTCGCCACCTCAGATGTTATAAATACAAATGTTTGGCATAGTGAATTTTCATGTACTGTATTTTTAAAAAAATTTTATTGGGGAACATATTGGGGAACAGTGTGTTTTTCCAGGACCCATCAGTTCCAAGTCAAGTAGTTGTTTCAATCTAGCTGTGGAGGGCACAACTCAGTGGCCCATGTGGGGATCAAACTGGCAACCTTAGTGTAATGAGCCTGCGCTCTAACCAACTGAGCTAACTGGCCGCCCCCTCATTACTGTATTTTTTTATCCGAAGTTGGGGATCCGCATATGCAGAGGGCCGACTTAAGATATAAGTGGATTTTCAAGCGTAGCGGTCGGCGCCCTCACGTTGTTCAAGGGTCAGCTGTAGTTTTCTTTTCAATACCGTTGTTGAGGCGTACTTGCCATGCAGGAAAGTGCACATGTTTATAGTGTCCAGTTTAACAAGGTTTAGCACGTTCACCGTGACACCATCACCACAGTCCAGGTAATGAACAGACTCATCACCTCAGAAGTTTCCACTTTGTAAATTCTCCCCTCCCACGTGCCCCCACCCAGGGAACCACTGAAAGACTCTCTGTCACTACAAATGAGCTCAACTTGCAGTGAACTAGAATTTTTATATAAATGTAACTGTACAGTGTGTGCTCTCTTTTGGTCTGGCTTCTTTCGCTCAGCAAAATAAGTGTGAGAAACATCCAGGTTGCGTGTACCAGTTTATGTTTTATGTTTTCAAAATTAACTTCTAGTTGAGTTCCTACATGGGAAGTATTATTTCTTTGAAAACTGTTAACCTGATTTTGAAATTAGCTGAGAAATCTGTTGAATGATATAGTCTTTGTGAAAATCCAATTCGGGTAACTTCCACTCAGGTCAAGTTCCTCATGCGTTTTCATTGAAAACTCCTCACTAGCCCGTTGTTACATGTCATGTTGGTGACCAGAGTTCTTTGGAAATGGAGAATACGTATTAGGTATTGCCTTGTGTTTGCTTTTAAGGCGCCGTATGTCTACTGATAATGCCATAATTGTTACTCTGTTTTCCTTTCCAGGGCTTTTCCAGGAGTGCAGCTATGGGTGTAAGAGGCTTGCAGGGCTTTGTTGCAAGTACCTGCCCACATGTATGTACCGTAGTTAATCTCAGAGAGCTGGCCGAGCGCCACCGGAGCAAGCACCCGGGCTGCACGCCCACCATCGTGGTGGACGCCATGTGCTGCCTCAGGTACTGGTACACTCCCGAGTCGTGGGTTTGTGGTGGCCAGTGGAGAGAGTACTTTTCTGCTTTGCGAGACTTTGTTAAAACCTTTGAAACTTTTGGCATCAAGTTGATATTCTTCTTTGATGGCATGGTGGAGCAGGGTAAGAGAGATGTGTGGGTGAAACGAAGACTCAAGAACAACAGGGAAATAGCCAGGATTTTCCATTACATCAAGTCCCACAGGGAGCAGCCCAGCAGAAACATGTTCTTCATCCCCTCGGGGCTGGCCATATTTACACGTTTTGCTTTGAAGACCCTGGGTCAGGAAACTCTGTGTTCATTACAGGAGGCCGACTATGAGGTGGCATCCTATGGCCTCCAGAATGACTGTCTTGGGATTCTCGGAGAAGACACCGACTACTTAATTTATGATACCTGTCCCTACTTTTCAATTAGCGAACTCTGCCTGGACAGTCTCGACACCATCATGCTCTGTAGGCAGAAGCTCTGTGAGAGTCTGGACCTCGGCCCGGCAGACCTTCCTCTTCTGGCCTGCCTGCTTGGCAATGACATCGTCCCGGAAGGCGTGTTTGAAAGCTTCCGGTACAAGTGCTTGTCTTCCTATACCTCTGTGAAAGAGAACTTTGACAAGAAAGGCAACACTGTCTTAGCTGTAGCACACCACATAGCTAAAGTTCTTCGCTTACATCAAGGTGAGAAAAAGCTAGAAGAGATGTTACCTTTGGGACCAAACAAAGCTCTTTTTTATAAAGGGGTGGCATCGTATCTTTTGCCAGGACAGACATCTCCGTGGATTTTCCAAAAACCCAAAGGTTTAACAACTTTGCACAAGCAGGTGGTACCCATGAGTTCAGACCCTGAATCTAAGCAAGAAATTCCTGTGTGTACAGACCCTGAATCCAACCAAGAAAGTCCTATGTGTTCAGACCCTGCACCCAACCAGGAAATTCCTGTGCGTACAGACCCTGAAATTAAACAAGAAGACTCCATGAATATGGAGCCTGAAGTCAAGCAACAAGTCACCATGGTTTCAGACACTGAAATCCTAAAGGTACGTAGACATGCCCGCCCGAATTGAATATATCCGGGTTGAAAATGTACCCATCAAGGGACTTGTCAGTGAGTACTGCCTGCCTGCAGCGGTGACGGCACTAGGGACACAGACCAGGACCCCAGGCATTTGGTTTCATGAAACAATCCATGAAAACACATCATAAACTATATTGACACAGTTACAGAAGAGAGAGAGTTCTCGGAATTTGAAGGAGAGTGATCACTGTGCACTAAGGTGCAGAGAGAAGTTCGCAGAAGAGTAGAACTGGAGCCAGACCTTAATGGGGGTCTGACATTGGCTTTGAACAGGCAGTGACTGGGTGGTGGGGGCACAAAGGGTGCCGAGTGTGGGGTTGTGTCACACTGGGCACAGTGGTCGAACAGCAGGCTGGAGCATGGGGTTTGAGGCGGGAAGTAGGGAGAAAAATTGGGGAAAGGTAGACCGCAGCCAGATTGTGAAGACTATTAAATACCACACCAAGAATTTGGTCTTAGTTCTGAAAGTAATAGAGGGGCCTTGAGGGGTTTTGACGGGAGGGCCACTGTCGAACCACTTCTGTGTGAGGTTCTGTGCGAGGTGCATTACATAGATTATGTCATTGAACCCTGAGTTACAGATAAGGTGCATGCCCACATCCCTTCTTAACAAGTTCAAAAGCAAACTCATGACATTACCCACCAACCTGTTACTGTTCCTGGCATCGTGAGTGTCGCCATCTTTCATCTAGTTATGTAGCTACAAAGCTAGGAATTAGCTGTCCCATTTTGTGTAACCCGTCTCTCCCAGGCTTGGTACGTTTACCTGTCGGCGACTCTTCCCTCCGCAGCCCGAGCCATCCTTTGTCTGTCCCGCACACTGTGCCCTCCCAGTCCGTCTGTGACGCTGCATGCAGGAAGGAAGCCACATTTGCATTTCATCCTCCGAGGACCGAACACTAGCCTCAGAGGAGCCGAGGCACGTCCTCACCTAGCCACTCCCACGCCCCTTCTTGCTCTGGAAAGCTGTCCTGCCCTTCTGCTAGTGTTTCCTGTCACAGCTGGGTAGTCACGCCCTCAGAAGCCCCCTGAGCAGCCACCCTGCTGGCATGTGTGCCTGACATTTGTAGCGCATGCTCATTGGGATTTCATGTTTGATTAATGTCTCCCTGCCAAACCCCCCTTGTGCCTGTCACACTGTCTGTGTCATAGTAGTTGCTCCTTAGTTCCCGAGGGAAGTGTTGGTTCTCTCTGTCTTGCAGCTACAAGCTCTCTCCTTTGTGACTTGTTCCTCCCTCTGTGAGCTGTAAGGAGTCCTGCTACCCTGCAAAGCCCTCCACCTCTCTCTCTTACATGCATTGTAGCAGATAAGCTAATTTATTACACAGAAAATTACTGTAAAAAGTAGATTGTGATGCATGCTTTAGGAGAGTTATCGGTGGGAAAGTATTGAGGAGTTGAGGAAACTATTCGACCTTGAAGCGTATTCTTATGTGCTTGTAGAGGAAAAAGAATGTGGGTTGGAAATTGGAGGAAGGGTAGACTTGGAACTCCAAGCGTTGGTGGCGGTAGGGAGCGCGGAGCACAGCATGGGGGAAAAGGTCGGGTGGTGAGAAAGAATTAAGACCCCTGAGCAGACTCCGTACTCAGAGCCGGGAAAATGGAAAGGAGTGTGGAGATGGACAGAGAAGAGCGAAATCCAGACATTCTTAAATACTTTCAGTGCTGTTCTGCAGGTCGGCTATAGAAATAGATGGACCATGCAGATACCCGTCCATAATGCATCCTTACGCAGCTGTCTGCACTTATCCCAGTGTCCCTCGCATCACCACCTAGCAGCATGCAGCTCTGCAGCCAGATGCACTTGTGTCCCTGCTCACAAGGGGACACAGGTGTGAAAGGCTAAGTCACACAGGACGTGCTTTGCAGACCCTGATTTGAACCCAAGCTTTGACTGCACGTTAGAGTCTTCCCTGTGGCCCCCCGCAGAGCCCAGACGGTGGGGTCAGTAGTCTTGAGAGCGAGAGCCAGAGTGGAGGAACCTGTAAGGGGGGCTTCCGAGGTGGCATCTGAGGTAGACCGGGGAGCCTGAAGGACAAGGTCGGGAAAGGCACCCCGGGCTGCCCTGTGCCTGCAGGCGGCCGTGCTCGTGTGGCAGCAGCCCGCATAACTGTTAAGTGCTTAAGTATGTATAAATAACGAGACAGCCTGACTCATGGAGTTTTGCTATTCCAAGTTATCTTAATACTACACTGTAAGTGCTTTTAGCCGTGGACTGCTTAGATTTAAATTTTTGAACAGTAATCTGGATGACTGTACTCCTGCAATGATAAGAATGTTCAGGAAAATCAAACCTGTATGTCGGTTATGATCGCCCTTCCGATTTTGAGTACTTACTTAATAAGAAAGTGGCATCAGTTAAAATCATGTGTGTTGTCACCTACCATGTGCCGAAACTGCTGGCATTGCCAGGCAGAAACAGGTAAGTGTTCAGCACACGTTTCACTCAGTAAGGTAGGGACAAGTGCTTGATTGTGCTGCCATTTCTACTCCCAGGGGTTACGTTGGGTCGGGGATCAGACGGTAACTTGTATTGGGTACATGTGAGGCGGGGGGGGGGAGGTGAGCTGTGTCGGGGAGAGAGGAAGGGGTTCATGGGCAGGGTGACACGGGTGAACCTCAAAAGGAAGAGGCTTGTGACTTGGGAGGTTGGGAGGGACTGGAAGGGATAAGTGTTATGGAGTACAGGTGAAGGCAGGGAGGGTTGCATCCCCAGGAACTGCGAGGGCGTGCCATGGTGACCGGCTCATGGCCATTTCTATGAGGGCGAGATGGTTGTGCGGGGAGAGGAGGAGGTGCTGTTGAAGCGGGGCCTTGAGTGCGAGGGTGGAGAGTTTGTGGCAGCCATTCAGATGCTTTGAGCAGGGTAGTGATTGCATCTGTGTGTGCCAGAAGGCAGGGCGGGTTGGCGAGGGAGAGGGGAGATGAGAGACGGGGTAGGGCTCAGCTAGAGCCTTCTGTGGCATTGTTTACTCTCAGGTGGACAAAATGAGATGCTTTGGAAGTCAGCATGGCAGGTCAGCTGAGTGGCTGGAGACTGGGCGGGGGGGCGGGTTGCGTAATCAGCACTTTGAGCCCAGAAGCCCAAAGGAAAGGAAGCAGAAATGCCGCTTCGATGTCCTGGCTTTGACAGTTGTTTCATTTCCAAGTGCCTAGAAAAACACCCAGCCTGTGACATAAAGGCGTTGACTATTCTGTTTGAAGGCTGTGGTTTTGTTTTCGAGGAGGAACTCATGTGTTTCACTGTTGAGCAGGTTGCCAGGACGCGCCACGTCCAGGGGGAGAGCTACCTGGTGTACAACATCCTGACCAGTGGGGAGATCGAATGCAGCAACACCCTGGAGGACGCGCTGGACCAGGCTCTGCCCAGCCAGGCCTTTGTGTACCGCCCCGTGCGGCAGCGTGCCTACTCCCTCCTGCTGGGGAGCGGCCAAGGTGAGGGTCCCGGGCTGCGCCGTTTGCACTGACTTGTGACCAACTGGCCAGACCAAGGCAAGTGCATCCTTTTGGGGCACAGATACAGCTAAGCAAGGTTGGTTTCTCTGAAATCTGAAATTGAGGATACCGCTGATGTGTGTAGAGTTAGGTAAATGCCATGGGACGTCTTCAGCTAATCAGCAAGCAGCCGATCGGTAGTCCTTACAAGACGAGGGCATTGTTTTTATAAAATGTTATATTTTTATGTGCTTTTTTAAAGATGTGAAAACCCTTTCCTCCTGTAGGGTGTAGGGTGTACTTATTATTAGAAGACAGTGTCGAAATGTGATTTTCATAAAAGAAGTGTAGAAAATCCAGTACTTCATATTTTAAAATATAAACAGAATTTTCATTAGGGCCTCGTAATGAAGTCTGTGCGTGTTCCCATCTGTATTCCACTGCGCAGTAGCAGCGGGTGTGTCGGGAGGACCTTGTTTTAACACCACGTGTGCAGTTAGGCCTGTAACCCCCCGAGGAGTAGTGGGCTTGGGGCAGGAGAAGTCACTTCGCACAGACTGCCGGCGGTTGATGCACTTAGTTACCTCCGAGGTCGAGCCCTGCTCACCGAGGCAGGCCGACTGTACCGCCGTGGTCTGATTTGAGAGGGCTGAGATGAGAAATGAATTTACATCATGAGAAAGAAGCTGATCTATAAACAGAAACAAAAGGGAACAAATAGTGTCTAAATGATTTTTTCCTATTTTGTCTTATGTGGCTCTCTGCCCGTATTCTTTCTGAACATGAATGATTACACATTGACTAGGATTAAAATAACATATTTTCATCATGAGAAACATTTTCCATCATAGAATAAAACTTGCCTGGAATTGTTTATAGAGCACCTGACCCTTAGCAATGCAGTGTTAGGGGCACTGGCCCCTCACTCAGTCAAAAGTCCATGTATAACTACCCTCGGCCCTCTGCGCCCGCAGACCCCCAACTGGCTCGAAAATACACTTGACCATGGAAAACGGATTTGAACTGTGCGGTTCCACTTATTAAATCTGGGAATAACTGGACTTTGTGCTGCTCAGTCAACTGTATTTTCTTTTTTAAAGATTTTTTTATTTGGGAATTGGGGGGATGGGAACAGACAAGTTGCTGTCGTTTTGTTCTTCAGTCTAGTTGTGGAGGACGTTGCTTCACTGGCCCAAGTTGGCACCATCATTGCGCTCTTCCTGGACGAGGCAGATCAGTCGCCGGCTTCTGGACGGCCGCTCACTGCGATGGCTGGCTGCTCACGCTGGCTGCTGGCCACACACGGTAGCCCATGGCAACCCACTGCCACAGGGGCTGCAGCCTACGCCATGGCCTGCGATTCCCGGCAGCCCAGCTCCAGGTCGAGCTGTTGTTCAGCATCTTAGCTGTGGAGGGCAGTGTCACTGGCCCTCATATGTGGGATCCGAACCGGGGCCCTCTGGCATCCCAAGCCAGCTCTTAACCAACGCGCCTCTCGGCCGGCCCAACTGTATTTTCTTAAATGAAGTTAAAATACGTAAAGTGCACTAACTTAAATTCCATACTTTGTTAATGCTCTTTATACTTGCAGTCATATAGATAACGTCAGTAGGTAACCATAGTAACAGGAAGAGTCACTCTCATTGAACGTGTCTTCATAATTTTTCCTTTTTTCTTTCTAACGTTTTGGTTTTCTAATGAAGTTTACAGTATTAGGATATGAAAATAAAATGCCGCTGTTGCTGGTTTATTTATGGTACTGATGATGAGGCATGTTGTATGTTGTTTGCTTAGCTTATTCTTCTATGTTTGCCTGGAAATTATGTACACCCTACCATGGCATATTGCCTTCCATAAATATCAGTAATATTAATAAGCCTGTTCAGGTCTCGTACCAATTTTCTGTCAACTTGTTCTTAGTTCTTGAGGGAATAGTGTTGAAATCTTCAGATGTTGTTGTGATTTTTATTTATACGTTCAGCTCTGTTAGTTTTTGCTTCAGATATTTTGGAAGTTCTGTTCTTATGTGCATTTATATTGAGGATTATGATGTTTCTTAATGAACTGTCTCTTAACAGAATGAGATTTCTCTTTGTAAAAATCCGGTAATATTCCTTGTCTTCACGTTGGCTTTGTTGGACACTAATGTAATATAAACACTCCAGTTTTCTTAGGGTTGATGTATCTTCATGCTGTATCTTTTTCCTGTCCTTTTACTTTTAAATTATTTCTTTATATTTAAAGTACACCTGTTTAAGCAGCATATCACCTGACAAGCATAGTGTCCGACCAAAAAAAATCTCCGTCTTTTAATTGGCATGCTTAGACTATTAACAGAGAAAGTAACTATTGACATGATTGCGTTTAAGTCTCCTGTTTTGCTCTTCGCTTTGCTCCCCACCCCCCAGTTTATTTCCTCCTCTTCTGATTTCTTTTGGATCAATTGAAAAATTTTTAGTATTTTGTTTGTTATCTTCTTTGGGATTGTTAGATTCACCTGTTGTTTTTTTGGTGGTTTACCTAGGGTTTATGATATTCATCTTTAAATTATCACAATCTGCCTTCAGGTAGTTATTATATCATGTTATGTGTAATGTAAAAACCTACAACAGTGTACTTTTGTTTTCATTATTTTTGTTATTGCTGCTTTATGTCTCCTTCATGTTTCTAAAACTTTTTATTTTGAAATAGTTACACACTCACAGGAGTTACACTAGTACATTGAGTTCCACATAGAGGTGACCCAGTGCTCCCCAAAGATGACAGACAGCCTGTGTGATAAATAAAACACAGTATAAAGTGGAAACTGACTGCAGACCGTACTCACTCCTCACGGCTTTTACACTCCCTCGTGTGTGTGTGTGTGTGTGTGTCGTTGTGTGCAGTTTTTTTTTTTTTCTTTTAAAGATTTTTTTTTTTATTGGTGAATTGGGGGGATGGGAACAGTGCTGGGGAATTGGGGGAAGGGGAACAGACAAGTTGCTGTCGTTTTGTTCTTCAGTCTAGTTGTGGAGGATGTTGCTTCACTGGCCCAAGTTGGCACCATCATTGCGCTCTTCCAGGGTGAGGCAGATCAGTCGCCGGCTTCTGGATGGCCACTCACGGCGGCTGCTGGCCGCTCACGCTGGCTGCTGGCTACACACGGTAGCCCATGGCAACCCGCTGCCACAGGGACTGCAGCCCACGCCGTCGCCGGCGACTCACAGCAGCCCAGCTCCAGGTTGAGCTGTTGTTCAGCATCTTAGCTGTGGAGGGCAGTGTCACTGGCCCTCATATGTGGGATCCGAACCGGGGCCCTCTGGCATCCCAAGCGAGTTCTTAACCATCGCGCCACTCGGCCGGCCCGTCGTTCTGTGCAGTTTTATCCCACGTCAAGATACAGCACCGGCCTCTCACCACAAAGGGACTCCCGTGCACTGCCCGTTGTGTCCTGCCCTCTGATGACTGCTTGTCTGTCCTCCATCTGTGTTCTGGTTGTTTGCAGACTGTTACATAAATGGAAACATACATATCCTTTTGAGATTATGCATGTATCTTAAACTCCATAATACACAATTCTTATTTTTTCTTTAAACTAGGGGCTGGCAAGCTTTTTCTGTGAAGGGCCAGATGATGGTAAACATTTTAGGCTTTGCGGTTCCCCCACAGTCTGTGTAACAGATACTGAGGCCTGCTGCTGTGGTGCAGACATAGCCACAGATAGTACGTCCGTGATGGAGTGTGGCTATGTGCTAATAAAGCTTTATCTAGTTTTCTCATGTCACAAAATTTGAATTGATACTATCTTCCTATATCACAGAATGTTCTTCTGGTAATTTTCCAGGCATTTAAAATAATATAAAAGACATTATTAGGGTTCAGACTGTCTGAAAACAAGCAGGCCAGATGTGGCCCATGGGCTGTGATTTTGCAGCCCTTATCTAGGCAGTCAGTTGTCTGTTAAAGGAATTAATCAGTGAAAAAGTCTTTTATGTGCTGCACAATTTCTGAGATCCAAGTTCTTCATCTTTAGTTCCTTCCTCTGAAGAACTTGTTTTTATGTGTCTTGCGGTGCTCATTTTATTTCCCTGAGCTTTTTTCCGGAAAATACCTTTAAGAGGTTAATTTTGCTGGATGTAGAATTTTGGGTATTTTTTTGTTCAGCACTTTAAACATGTCGTATTGTTGCCCCTGGCTTGTGTTATTTTTCATGCGATGACAATGGTCCTTCTTCCTGTGATCGAGAAGAAAACCCTTATAGACGGCCTGAGAGCAACACTCCCCATGTGTAATGCGTGTTTTTCTCAGGCCATCTGTAAGGGTTTTCTCTCGATCACTGGGTTTCAGCAGTTTGTTTAAGCTAAGTTTAGGAGTGGCTTATACTATGTTCATGCCGCTTTGGAGCCTTGAGTTTCTTGGATCTGTGAGTTTGTGTTTCCTATCAAATTTGAGAAAAAGCTGAGCATTATTTCATCAGATACTGTTTTCTGTCTTCATCTCTCCCACCTCTCACTCTGGGCCTCCAGTTACTTGTGTATGGTTTATGCCTCATCGTGTCCCGTAGGCACCGAGACTGGTTTAAGCCTCTTCTCTCTGTGTTTCCACTTGGGTAATTCCTGCTGCTGCTGTTGTCAAGTTCAGTGAGCCTGTCTTCCCCACCATCTAACCCACTGTTAACCGATCCAGCGAGGCCATCGTTTCAGATACTGGCTGTAAATCTTCCGTTTCGGCCTTCCCTGTCTTCGTAGGTCGTTAAATTCAACCACAGTAGCTTTTTCAAGTCCTCCTCTGCCAGCTCTTTCACCCCTGTCGTTCCTGGGCCTGTGTCCACTTACTGACTTCTCACCTCATAATGGGCCCGCATGGTCCCCGTTACGTGTTCTCACATGCAGTACTGTGTTTCCCCATGTATAAGACGCAGCCTCTTTCTAAAAATTTGGGTCTAAAAACTGGGTGCGTCTTATACAGTGGTTGTAGAAGTTTTTTTACTTGCATTAGCTGATTTTTTCGTGCTTATTTTT